GTCATTTTGTCATACGCACCTTCTAAATAAATTATATTCTGACATTGTGACATACTGGAATAGTACAATGAGAGTAACGTGCAACGATAAAGAGTCAAAATGAACAAAACATCTGGCTTCCAAAGGACACCGAGTTCAGTTTCACAGAGTCACAGAGTTTCCTTCAACTCAGCAGGCAGACATGTGATGGAATAAGAAGGCACTCAGCACAGAAAAACCAGACAGCAGTTTTGTGATTATTATTATTATTATTATAATTACTGATATTACTCTTATGCCAGTTATGAGCATTTGCAAGGGTTATATGCATTTTAATTATAGTCCGTTTCTTCTCCAAAGATTGTCTTTTTGTGGATCCTCTTGCTGTCTTTGTAAAGTGCATCATATAATCTCAAATACACACTTAAAACATATACAGCATATAGTGTTACTTTGTATCACTGTTTAATCTTTTTCACATCTTTTTTTTAGAGCTTTCAGTTAATAAAAGTTAGGCGGGTATGACAGAGCAAAGTGAAGAGTGGGGGCTGTGTTTCAGTGTGTTTTGCAGATTCGTATGGAAACGCGCCATGCACACAGACACGCACACACACAGACACGCACAAACACACTCACACAGACACGCACACAGACACGCACACACGCACGCACACAGACACGCACACACACAGATGGATCCTTACTTAGTGGAGCTAATCACAATACTTGTGTGCATAAGCGAGCAACCGCACATGTATGTGCATTGGTGCATGTGACCATGTGCAATCGTGCGACAATGTGTACGTGTGAGTCCACGAGGAAGCAAGGGACGGGATTTTTGTCTCTGTACATTTAAACGAGTGACTGCGCACGTGTGCCCACATGGCCGTGTGCCTATACACGCATAATTACATCCACATGTGAGCAAGTGTGTGCGCGCACGTTAAAGTGCGACTGCCCCAGAGTGCACTTGATTTACGACAGTGTCCCAATGAACTGTAATATACAATGAATACCTGCAGCATAACACACAGAAACATTCATAGACTTCACCCCACTTGAGTAAATTCATATTTATAATCATAACTTAATAACATTCTCATAAATAATTTAATGGTATAAAAGGCTCCTTCTCTGGTGAATGCAAAGAAAAACAAAATAAAATCACTGTACCAGTTTATCTTTCACTTTGTGCGTAGATTATGAGCAATCTAGCATTAACCATTGGTAAAATACTTACTACTGTTATTACTTTTACTCGAATGCTAGTTTATGGTTATATATTGTGGAGCTGTGCTACCTGAAAATCTGTACATGGAGAAAAAAATATTTCAAAGTCCGTCCACTTAAGGCATTGCAGCAAATGTATTCTCTGGAATACAACAGTAAAACCTTGTGTGTATCATTAAGTACGTAACCAAGAGTTTGGTTATGTGCATGCATGAGTGTGAGTGTATGTGTGGTTTGTGTATGTGGGGTGTGTGTATGTACCTTACACATAGTAATTAATTATGCACATATACACAAACACACACACCCATTTTGAATAGTTCTCCGAGAATGTCAGTACAGTGTGCATCAAGGCAGCTGTGCATCTCTCTTGACAAACATCCAGCTGATAATCTCCTCCACTCTGTTGAACAGTTGAGCAGGAATCCATAGAGACAAGACTGCGAGTCCAGACAAGAAAGTCTTTCAAACTGTCCTGTCGTTCTTGTTGCAGATTCAGCAGTGAGAGCTGGGGCTTTCCTACTGGACAGCATCATGCTCTGCCTCCCAAACCGGGCGTCATGATTGGCTGATTGGATCTCCGCTGGGAATGGGGGTATACCCAACTGACTGTTCCAAAACATGCGCAGATACTGTACGTAGACCCCACCCCCAGCCCCCAAAGATGGGTAGGTGACTGTGGGTGACTGGGAGAGGGGTGCCAGTAAAATTCTTCCTAAAGCACCAAAACACTTTCCTCATTTCTCTAGCACCAGATTCAGCTCAGTGTCACAGACTTGGTGCCCCGGCCTGAAGTACAAGCACATCTTTGGGTAAACAGCCACAGACATTACCAGGTTAGTCTGTAGCTCAATACCTGCACAGGGTAAAGTACAACATCAACACAGGGCCATGGGTGTATATATTCAGGCGACAACAGCAAATAAGAGGTGTACCGTAGCTGAAGGTCTAGCCGTGTCTTCAACTAGTCCTAGACGCGACAAGATCCTAAGTTTATGTTTCGGTTTAGAGGAAAAAGAAATTTGTCCCCAAAATTAGGTAGCATACATGCAAACTGCAAATTAAAACAAATAGGTTATGTCACTGGCACTTATAATTTCCTTGCCGTTCATTAAATTTGCCCAGATCAGATTATCCTTTGATACCAATTTCTCTCATCCCTGATGCATAAATTACCATTTGCAGGTGAAATGGTAACACATTTCAATTACCTTCACATTTCAGAAATGTACCCGCATGTCTAAAATGTACAACAGTGAGCAGCTCGTCTTTGCGACAGAAGATTATGCATTAAAAGCGTTAAGTCATCTACATTCTGAGAAAAAGTTCAATATTCATGTGGATGTAGGTAAAGGGTAATTATCTTGGATGCAACAATATATGCATTTTCTGAATATGGCTTTAAAGGCTGGAAAAAAAACTTTTTTACACGAGTTGGATGTTGTCAAAACTTACACACAATTGTCTGTCTCCTGGCTTTGTAGCCATTTAGTGGTTAACTTGAGTTCAATGCTATTTGCTCTGCAGTCCTACACTGCGATACCTGCACTTTGTTTGCAGAAGGCCGATTCTGAAATGCTCTCTTGCTATGCTGCAGGGGCCTAACTGTGCTAATGCACATCTCTCAACTGCAGACGAATGTAGGACTGAGCTTCCTCTATTGCACAATACAGTTCAACACATACATAATGTATGGGCAGAACATTATACAAAGGTGCGTTCGGATGTGCAAAGGGTTAAGGAATCACCGGGCAACGGCTGCAGTACTGTTAAGGTCCAACGTGCCCTCCACCCTAAACCACAGAATGAGTTTCACAAGAACAGCAATGGGCCTAGAGCCTATGACAGCTAAGTAAACAACTCTATTTGCTAGATGATCAAAACCTTTTTAAATTCTAAATGCCATTTGGCAATAACTGACTATATCCCATATCTTTAGGACAAGGGTTGTCAACCTGGGATTCACAATATAATCAATATAATCATCTGATTTATGCTATGCAAAAATATTTATAACCCCCCCCCCACCACCACCCATAGCCAAAAATATTCAAGGAGAGCACTACACCACCCATATCAAAAAATATTGAGATGGGACCCTGGAGCACGAAGTATTAAAGCTCCCCTGATCCCAGTTACTTATGTTATTTCACATTAGCGGCAGGGGGTCCCTGGTTTAAGAAAAATTGAGATCCTCTTCACAAAGCAACGGAACAAGCTGCATGTACAGTAGGCCGACCGTGCTGGCAAACTGAGAGCTTGCTCCAGGTTTCACCACAAGGTTTAAACAAAGCGGAGACACACGAGAGTGCTTCAAATGCCTGTAAACACGAATAAGCAAAGCCACAAGCCACACAGGCATGTGGAGAGGCAGCCAAGGGCTACTTCAACTCCCCTTCCGGAGGAAGTGTTGAAGACCTCATTTTAAACATAGACATTCACAACGAAGGCTTTGTGGGGAAACATCCCACCAAATCCAATCCCACACGTGGCAGGGACCCCTCATGACCTGCACCACTCCACCTCCAAGCCAAAGAAAGCATTAACAAGTGCTAACTACAGTACTGAACATTCTGCTCTATTAGCAAACAGCTGTAACCCATCTTCTACCAAACCCAATAACCTGCAAAGGCTAATTCCAGAGCTTCAGCTTACAAACATTTCAGAAGCTTTGAGTTTTCGACAGACAAAGATTTGGAATGGTAAAAGTAATTTCGATCTGAGGCAGGTGGCAGATGTTCTATGACAGAAACGTAACACTTACTAAAAGTGCACTTGCTGTTTAATTTGAATCTGCCTGAGGTCTTCGGTATGGCGTATGAGAGAATACCAAGCTAACGGCTGATTTCTACCCTGAAACCAGCTGGGAACAACTTACAAAAACCAAGCAAAGGAAAAGCTGTGGATGTATAAATAAAGGTTGTGTTTTTCTTATGGATAATGTACAAATAATTGTTTTGGTAGATACAGGCAACTGTACTTGCATTAACAAACATTAAGTGAAATCATTTTTGCTAACTATTTTCTATAGCTCATCACACTTTTTATCAATGTACTTTAAATCTTAACGCACCTGACCAAATGAATACATTTACAAACTTTAATGCAAGGTGAGAAGTATTTTTTCAGATTACACCACTAATCAGAAATCCAGTGTTTCAGCATAAATATCAACAACTTATTTTAAAGTATTATTTGTGTGCTTTTATTTGTTTGTTGATATTATTGATGCACACCCAAAAATTGTTAAAATAGAGCAGGGTTATTCAAATCACGGTCAAGGTCCGAGCCCTGCTGGTTTTCCAGCCTTCCTTTACCTGTCAGTCAGGTGTGAAGCCTACCTGGAACAATTAAAAACAAGGCCTGGATTTGGAATCGAGGGCCATATTTGAAGAGCCCTGCAACAGAGGAATCCAAGAATTGTGTTTTTAGCCACAGTTAAATCTGATACCTCAACATAAAAATGTTCCATTATTTTTATGGGTGAAATTTTACACAGACAGAATCCCTTCAGACATCATGCTCCAAACTGTTGCCTGGTGATACCTCTGCCTATTAATCCTGCCCCTGCAGTATAAAGCCTGTGTTCTGTTGTGCTTTGGCACCCAAAATGCCTGTGGACAAACCCTGAAATTGGCCAGCATTGCTTGAATCAAAACAATTCAAAATAAGAATGGCGTAACAGACAAAGGGAAAATACATTAATAAGTAAAGCAATCTGTGTGCATATTTTAAAAAATTATATATATATATATATTTATATATATATATATAATTGCAAATTATATCATTGATATCTGGGATAAAAAATATATTTAGCTAGATATAGAGAATTATTACTAATAATCTTATTATTGTTTATTATTCACTTTCAGTATTCTTTCATACTGAAATGCATGCTACAAGGAATGTGTTTTGATCATGCAAAAGTACAATATCAGAACAGCTTCTGTGTTTTTTTTTTTTCTTTTTCTTTTTCAAAAAGCAGTTCAGGGGAAGGCAGCTCCTTTATTTATAAGCCCAAAAACATTTCGTGGTTTTGAGAATGAAAGAACTGAACTGGGAAAAAAAAATATCTGGATACCACACGAGTTATAAAAAATATATAATTGCATTGATAAGTCAAAGGGAAGTGATGCGATAAATGTGAGCCGAAGTGAGCTGACTCATCACTTCATTCATCGGTGATGTTGGTTAAATGTCAATATGATCCCCTCAATCTCTGCTTGGGAGATTTATAAATATGGTATGTGATACAGACAGTGGAGAATGGGACAAAATGGAGAAAGTGGTGGTGAAAGTAACATAAAATTAAGTAATCCAAGCTCATTGATTTTTAAGTCTTTTTTTAAAGCACTTGGAAGTCTTTTCCCCTTAGTTTTGTTACCTCAGGAAGAGAGACAGGGCAATGCAACATGTCCCTGCTGGGAGGAAGAGGAGAAACCAACCTAGCTTACTCCCGTTGCAAATCTCGAGGCTCATGCAGTATCAGGAGGCACACTAAGAAGGACCAATGAGACAAAATAAAATAAAAAAATAAGAATAAAAAATGAATAGACCCCACAGTAAGAAAAACATCCACACCAATTTTCCAAGTAGCTGAGGTCATGGCAGGAGGAACATAGCCAGATGGTCATAGAGGTTGGATATCACTGCCTGCTGAAAGAAAAAAGCAATTGTCGACCCTGTAAGTGAGTTACTCACGGCTATCACCAAGTGTCTCTCATTTATCGTGCACTAAAATGTTCCTTGGATTGGCTGCTATATCACCCCTCAGTCCTCCTTGTAGCCTTTCTCCATGACTGTATGAGACCGTCTGTATTACTTTTTTTCATGGAAGCCATGGACGGCAAAAAAAAGGGAAGGTATTCTTTGGAGGTGTAATTGAATGCGATCTGAGAGAGCACAGAGATGGGTGCATGGGAGGAGATATTAGGAGCAAAGCTTGGAGGAAGGGTGCAGGGACAGGAGTCAGCTTTCCGCAAGGCTATGCTTCTCTTTGTTGCGCTACTGTTTGGCTACTGCTGCAAGCAAAACATTGACTATTAACCAGTGTCACACACACGCACACACCCCAAAAATTAGCTCCTTCCAGACCCTAAAAAGAAGCAGAGCTAAGAAGGACCTGACAAGATGGAGAATACGGGGTGGATGGACTGGGTGGGTAGACTGTGGAAAGGAGGGGGTGCAGGAATTTTGCAAGTTCTCTGCTTACTCTTTGTGCTTCTCATCTCTTCGATCCACCAAATCAATGTTCAAGATTCCCTCTATTGCTATCTGTGTCCCCCACTCCACCTCCAGCTCTGCCCCAGTCTCTCTGGTGGTGGTTATACATCCGTGAGCATCTTGGTTATGTTGACATAGTTGGTGTTAGCAAGTGTGCAGTTGCCTGTCTTGAGGTTCTCCTCACGAAAGTCCTCACTACTGTTGTTCACTGCCTCCTGGATCTCCATGTAGTCTGACTTGCTCATGGTGGAGCCACTACGGCTCTTCTTCAGGTCCTCAGTAGAATCTGCCTTGGGTGGGGCCTGTAGATACTGGGCTTGTTCCTCACCCTCTGTCTCACGGTGGTAGAAGTAGTTGAAATTGGAGACAATGACGGGCACGGGCAGGGCGATGGTCAGCACGCCGGCGATGGCACACAGCGATCCCACAATTTTACCCCCAATGGTGGTGGGGACCATGTCTCCATAGCCAACTGTGGTCATGGAAACCACGGCCCACCAGAAGGCGTCCGGGATGCTGATAAACTGTGACTCAGCCTCATCTGCCTCGGCAAAGTAGACAGCACTGGAGAAAAGAATGACTCCAATGAAGAGGAAGAAGATGAGCAGACCAAGCTCACGCATACTGGCTTTCAAGGTCTGGCCCAGGATCTGCAGTCCCTTGGAGTGCCGGGATAGCTTGAAGATTCGGAACACCCTGACCAGCCTAATGACTCTCAGGATAGCTAGAGACATAGCTTGTTGCCCTTGCTGGCCATCCTCAGGTTTTTCTGCCAGCTCTGTGCCCAGGGTGATAAAATAGGGGATGATGGCAACAATGTCAATAATGTTCATGATATTGACAAAAAAGCCAGCCTTGCTTGGACATGCAAAGAAGCGCACCAGGAACTCAAAGGAGAACCAGATGATGCAGAGGGTCTCCAGAATAAAGAACGGGTCGGTGAAGTAGGTGGGCTGGTACCTGGAGGTTGTGTTGGAGAAGGGATGGTAGGACTTGTGCATCTCCTCTTCATCGTTTCGGAAAATTGGCAGCGTCTCTAAACAGAAGCTTACGATGGAGATGAGGATTACCATCACAGATATGATGGCAATAATCCTAGCAGGCCCTGAGCTCTCAGGATACTCAAAAAGCAGCCAGACTTGTCTCTGAAACTCATTTTCGGGCAAAGGCCTTTCCTCCTCCTTAATAAAGCCCTCATCCTCCCTAAATATCTCAATGGCCTCCTCACCAAGCTCATAGAAACGAATCTCCTCTGAGAAAACATCCAAAGTCACATTGACTGGTCGCCGTAGACGCCCTCCCGACTGGTAGTAGTACAGGATGGCGTCGAAGCTGGGTCGGTTCCGGTCAAAGAAGTACTCGTTCCTCAGAGGGTCAAAGTAGCGCATCCTCTTTTTTGGGTCCCCAAGCAGAGTCTCGGGGAACTGGGCGAGGGTTTTGAGTTGCGTCTCGAAGCGCAGCCCTGAGATGTTGATGACCACCCTCTCGCAGCACTCGTGGTCGGCCTCTGGATCATAGTCCTGCTGGTGACCCGGGTGGGCCGCCGCCTCATCGGACGGATCCCCGGTGGCTACCGTCATTCTGCTGGAGGGTTCACCTTGAGTAGGAGTGGAAGAGGCCTGCAGTTTTCAGAGAAGCCTGAAGCCTAGTCTGGCCGAAGAGGGTGGGGACTCTCAGCGATGTGGCAGTTGTCACGAGTCCACCCAAGTACAACTGAAGGACACAGAAGCAGAAGGTAAAAGCTAAAGCTGAAATGCATGAGAAATATTGTACACAGTTGAAACACTTCCCTAAAGAAAACACTGAAATAGTTTAATATTATGGACCATTACCAACTTTCTCTTTCTTCTTGTCTCCCTGCAGTGTAACCTACAACTAATACCCAGAAACACATGTTAGAAATGACAAAATAATTCAGCCAAACAACCAGCTAAAAAAAGTTTGTTACGAAATTTGAATATCATTAGAAAATCCAATGACAGCTGGCATATGTTGACATATCCCAGGACTGAAATAACAGCACAAAACCCACAGCTAAACACAAAGGTGCAGGGCAGATGAATCAGGGCAAACCCAGCCTTACGTCTCCTCTGCTGGAGACAACGCCTTCAACTACACCAGTTATCGTAAAAGTGCAGTGAGTCCCCGTGAAGCCATCTTAGGTACAGGTGCTACAGCAAATGCAAACACCCAGATACAAGCTCCCTTCAGCACAGAAGCATCTATAATCAGGTTATGCACATTACAGCATATTTACTCTGAAATCCCACAGATATCAAGAGTTTGGTTTAATTTAATTGTCTTTAATTGACTTTGTTAATAACTAAATACAACAGAGATGCACCTTTTTATTTATTTATTTATTTACATGGACAGGTCTGCAGGAATCACTGTCGCCAGTGTACTTAAAACATTCAGGAGCATCCAATCAAATATTAAAAGGCAGAAAAAAATATTACAGCCATCATTAGTGTACCATTATCCTACTGTCCCGGGTGTTTGGCAGCAATTCTGCATTGGTTATTTTGTAAAACGGAATGGCCAACCAACAGGAATGCAGCTCACCAAAGAGGAACTTTTAAGTCCCTAAAAGAAATTGCTTTAGTGGTAAGAAGGGCCTTCCAAATCACGCAAACTTCAGGAAAGTCAAGACTTTTAATCAAAGTGTCAAATGCAGTTGACGGCACTTCTCTAGCCAGACCCTCGTTTTACAGAATAAAGCTTCTAACTGTGATTCTGCCAGTGCTGTTCACCTGCGCCAAATTCTACATTCTCTGGCTTGACCGCAAGAAAAAAAAACAGGAGGAGAAAAAACTTACCTCAAATCCTTCGCCGCCTCCGTAATGCACACGCGGTGATGCAGATTCCCGGAAAAACGTGTACTTGTTCCCAGTAAATCTCCAGCATCTAAGACTTGCACCGTTCACTTCCAGCTATGGAAGTCACAGTCATTCATGCGCGCCGATACTCTATGCAGCAACCATTAGTTCCCCCGCATCACCGTGTTAAGATGGGGGGGATGGGGATGGGGATGGGGGGGGGGGGGGGGGGGGGGGGGGGGGGG